CTCCCTCCTCCATGTCCACTGCACACTGTGCTCATCTGACACTGATCACAAAATGCCTCCTGCTTTATTCTGCTGCAATAGGCTTCGTGTGGTTTTTCAGAAGGATAGAAATGTTAAAAGAACTTAGGGTTTCTAGAATGGCAAACCTAGCTCTGTCTCTAACTTTGTTTACTGAGCTTCAACTTCTTTGCTTCTAAACAGGGTATTACTAATGACCATCTCATATGACCACTTGGAAGAATGGGTGAGATCATACATGCAAAGACTCCCAACTTCTTGAGGGTTTGCTGTCTCCCAGGCACTGGACAGAAAGCTTTATGTAACATCCTCCCATGCAGAAAGTGTTGATTTCTTTAGTCTCAATTGTTGGACAGAGTAGGCATTAATGAGAACTGGACATTAGTTGGCAGCAGGGCCCTGTCTGCTGAGTCAGCTTCCCTGAGTCAGTGGTTGAGGCACATACAATGCAGGTCTCTAGAGAGTGAAGTTACTGAATGGGCTGCAGTTCCCACCTATCTGCCTGAAGGGCTGCCAGGGTGTGATTCCCCAGCATGATGGAGCGCTCACAGGGAGGGGAGAGTAGTACATCTGAACTGCATTATCTCCTTTCCCACTGTCTCTCACCACTCCTGCCTCTCCCACCCCAACTGACCAATTCAACCCAGAAGAGGTACAGATCTGATTGTGAGTCACTCCAGGAGTGTGTTGGTCTCTGCCTTTTTACCATGCCTCATGGAATATCAGGGCATTGTGGATCAACATTCTTGCCCTGCTCATTCACCATTACTCCAAATTCAACCAAAGCATTGTACCTGTGCAATGGAAATGTCTTAGGGATGTCAGGGATCCATGAAAATCACATCTAAACAAAATGAAAAATCCTACCCTTGGGTACTTATAAATGAAGAGAATTCGGGGTACTTGCAAATCAATAACCCATAACTTTTCCACTGTTTTCTTTTTATAAGCCATTGATTAAAGTAGGGTGTAGAACCACATAATTTTTTTTCTTCCAGCTAAGCTACTCCCATCAAGTGGGTAGTTTTGGAAAATTCTGTAACCCCTAGGACACCATTTCATGCATCAAAACCATTGTATTTGAAATGATGTTTGAAGGAAGTTGGAAAGGTGTTTTTGCAACCTCTTTGCAGGTTTGTCTTGTTCCTGGGGAGCAGTTGTATAGTCTGAAAGTGTGATGAACACAATTTCCCATTCTGCATGGAAGGATCAATGTTCCCATCTTGCTCTGCAAGGCTGGAGTTAATGAGGAGGAGTTTTTATGTGAAGGTCAGGCATGTTGCAATAACCAGCCAGAATTGAATAGTCATGGCAGTTCTACCACTTGGCTTCTTTGTTTTTGTCATGCTGCTGCATGCTTCATTTTATGAATATTTTCTTTTCTTATGTGTGGTTGAATCCATCTCTTGACATCTTGGGCTTTGAGACTTGCCTTTAACGGGCCATGAGGCACAGAGAGAGAAACTGGAAACTGGACAGAATGTCATATCTGAAACATGTATTTATTCTCCTCCCTCTACTTCTGCTGACAGATACTCTGGTGATTAATATTCTGAAGAATCTGTTTCTTAAGGAGAAGGAGAAGGAAGAGGAGCACGAGACACAGAAAAAAGTATTGTGAAAACTGACTTTCTTTTGCTGATGTTCATGTCATGGATGAAGACAAGGTCTAGTAATAGTCCTGCTGAAATGAGATAAATGAAAATTGCTTGGCTTCTTGAGCTAAGTCATTCATGTTCTTCAGGATTCTATCTTGATCTTGGCGTCTACTCCCTGAAGGCTGATTTGTGTTTGAGTGAGAGCAGAACAGGCTGCCAGGGCTGAGGAAATCCCAAGTGTCTTGGGGCATCCTCATTCATTTCATCGCTGCAGAAAGTCCTAGCTGGGGGACTGTGTGCGTTTCATAACTAGATTCCCAAGAATCGAGAATTCACAGTATGGGCAACTGTGGCAACACGTGTGAAGCCATTAAAATCAGGCCCTCTGCAGACCACCATTTGAGGGCTAACAGAAAGGCAGGGTGGGGTGGGGTCACAGCTTAGGTGGGACTTGAAGCCTGAAGCAGGGGATGATGAATTCTTAAGGAAAAAGGTCTATTTGGCATGGCAGGTGCCTCTGTACCTGGAAGTTGGTGTTCAGAACTGTACACCTTTGCTACATTTTCATCACCTTCGTGGCTTCCCTAATAACTGGGAAAGCTGCCTAAGACATCCTTTCTGCCCTGCCTGTCCAGTTCTGAAACTGTCAGGCTAATCGGATCCCGTAGATTAGAAAGATCCTTTTAGGATTTTTTTTTTTTTTTCACTTTTTAGTTTTCAATCTCTCCCTGTTACTCCTGAGTATTTTCCCCCTTCTCGTTCTTTATGGCTTGTCACCAAATCCTGTGGAAACGGTGACGCTTTTTCATTAGAGAGAGAGAGAGAGAGAGAGACAGTTTTCAACCAAAAAGGCCAGGAAGAAGGCAAGGGTCTCCCCACTGTTACCCTGTACCCTGCCTTGGAGTTCGACTCCGCGCACAGGAGAAGGAGTGTGTGTGTGAATGAGTGGAGAGCAAGACACAGGCTCGGCCTTGGAATTGGCCGGCCCGGTGACCGGCGAGCCCGCCCCCACCCCTCCCCCCCTGGCGCTCGCACTCAGGAAGCAGCTGGCTGCAGGCCGGCCCTCGCGGCCGCACACACATCCACACTCCTCGCCGGGCCGCCTCCCTCCCTCCCTCCCTCTTCCCCCTTCCCCTCTGCCGTGCAGCGCGTCCACACTGCGCCGCCCGGGCAGCCCAGAGCGCGGCGCGCACGGGCACAGGCGCCGGGAGCCGCCACCGCCACCCCTCCCCGCACGCCGGGGTTCGCGGTCCGCCGCCGTCCAGGTTCGGCCCGGCGCTCCTCTTTACGGGATCCGCTGGTTAGCAGCAGTTAGCCCGCATCCCGGGCTGGCCCCCGGACGCATCCGCCGGCCCGGGGCGAGGATGAGCAGGACAGACGAGGCACAAAGTCGCAACCCAACTTTTTGAAAACATTCTTTGCGAGCGCGTGTGTGCAGCGGGGGAAAATGAGCTGATGCCGAGGGTCCAACCACCCCCCTGCCGCCGCCGCCTCCCCCTGCCGCCGCTGCCCTCGCAGCCGCGCGCGCACACACGGCACTCGGGCCGGGTTTCCGTGCTCTGTCCCCCGGCTGAGATGCAAGTGTTCAGCTCCGAAGGAGGCAGAGCCCGCCGAGCGCTCTGAAGCCTGGAGCCCCAGTAACTCCTCGCCAGCGCTGGCCGCCCGCTGTCACTCGCGGAGGCTGGCCGGGGGAAGGGACCCGCACGCCGGGCTTTGTTGTGGAAATCCCGGTTACCAGGTAAGTGGACGCCGCAGGAACTCTGCTCGCAGGCGAGCGACCGGGACAACCCTGGCGCTCGAGAGTTGCGGGAGCTTTGAGGCTCAGAGCCGCCAACGGGGGGTTCGGAATAGTTTTCCACGCTGAGCGGGCAGCACTTGGGCGGGTTTAAGGATACGTGGGCTCCAGCCCCCCGATTCTTAGATCTTCTCGAAACGTCTATTGGGATAGAGATAGCAACACCTAACTGGGAGGCGATCAAGCTGGGTTCTTGCCAGTTACCTACGAGCGCCCAGTGTAGGAAGACACCAACAGGTTTGGAAGTTTCGCTCATTAGGAAGAGTTTTCTTTTTCTTCTTACATTACAGGTCCCAGAGGGCTACAAAACCAGGGCAAGTTACAGGGCGCATGGGCAGGGTGCACGCCACCCCGAGTGCCCACGGAGAGAGATTTTGGCTCAGTGGGCACTGATGGGGTGACGTTAGATCGGCCGCGCACACACCGGGCTGTAGTTGCCTTTTCAGGTCCCACGTGTTTGCGTAGCACCACGAAGGCTTTTTTTATTTTCCCACGCGTGTGCTTCCCCCCAGCCGGCGTCGCTCTGGTGCCCGGAGCCCCTCGGGGCGGGGTGTTAGGCGTGTGAGTGGCGGAGAGCGGGCCAGCGCCTGCGGCCGCAGGTCTGGCACTGTCACCTCCCCCGCGCAAGGGCGCAGACAAGGCTCAGACGCGAACGCTCCCCGCCGGGCTCGTCACCGCGCGTTTACGTTTTCATGGGCCCGCCGAAATGTCAGCCGTGTTTGGAAAATGTCTCAGTCTCGGGGACTTTGTCCTGCGCACGGCTCCAGGCCCTATAAATGACCCTGTGTGTGTTTTGAAGTGGGCCGGGGCCGCTCTCTGGAAAGCGTGAGTGAGCCGCCGGGCTCTCTCCTAGACACACACCTTGCCCCAAGCGACTGTCCCAAGTTACTCACTGGAGCTGACAAGTCACTTCGGGGTCGGGGAAGTCACCCAAATGTCTGGAAATCTTGGCCCCGGCGGATTTGTCATCCTATGGATGATTCAATTAGGTGCCCGGAGGAAGAAACTTTGGGGACGGTTTCTGGCTGCGACTTCAGATTTTTTGGCGTGGGGGAAGGGTATTTGGGAGGCGAAAGGGAAAAGGACACCCGAGCGCCCGGACGCTTGCCCGAGAGGCGCTCCTGGCCGGAGGCTGAGCCCGTGCGCTCTGGGGCGCGGCGAGCCGGGCCCGGGCTCCCCCCGGGCTCGGGCAGGCTCCGCAGCACGCGCGGGTCCCCGGCCGTCCGTGCGGGCTTCCGAAGCGCGGGCCGGCGGCGGCGCCCTTTCAGCCCCGACTTACTCAGGACTGAGTTGCACAACAGGAAGCCGGCACGAGTTTGTTTTGTTTTGCTGCGTTCGCTCGCTCGCGGACGGGGCTGAGGGTTAGGGGCGGAGGCGGCGGGGGAGTGACGGGGTCGCGGCAGCGCGCACCCTGCCGGGCCCCGCCGCCTCCGCCTCCGGATCCGCCCCTTGCTCCGCGCCGGGGAGCCCCGGGGCCAGGGCTTGGGACCCCAGCAGACCACGCTTGTGGGGTAAGAAAGCTGCGAGGGCTGCCCTCCTCCTGTCGTACCGCGCGCCCCTCTCCCCGGCTGCGCTGCTCTGTGCCTCACCTTCCCTCACTCCCGGCGTCCCCGGTTTCTGTCGGGCTCTCATCTCAGCACCCTCTGAACCCGGGGCAGGAGATCTGGCGTTACTTCCGGCGTCGCAGGGAGGTGCAGGGTTGGTAGAGACTGGACTCCTGTCGTCTGGGCCCTCTTCTGGAAGGGCTCTGCACCCTCTCCCCACGCCAGCATCTCTGGAGAGTTGGGGCCCCGGGGGCCTTAGAGTCCGCGAGGAAGGGAAGTTCTGCAGCTCCCTCCAGTGGAGCAGTTCCCTTTAGGTTATGGGACTTAGACTCTCAAGTGCTGTGTAAACAAAGTTAGAAGGGGCCTGAGCTGCTCCTGGCCTACACGTGAAGGTATTGGGGACCTAGAGACCTTAAGGGTTTTGCTCGGGATATCACAGCCAAATTGTCAGACGCAGGGCAGACACTTAAGACGTCCAGTTCCCAGTTTGAAGAGCATTTCTGGGTCAGAAGGTGAACCCAAGCCAGATGCAAAGGCTTCTGTCCCCCTCAGAGAGCTTTCATGAGCCATGGTTTCTGCCTTGGGATGTAGCCAGTCTTCCGTTTCTGCCCTCGGCCTTGCTCCCCACTGGGTCTCCCCTTTTAGAATAAACGGGGCAGCAGTTTTCTTTTGAGGTGGTGGTGGTGGTGATGGTTCAAACTTGATTTTCTCCTGCCTCTGCCCGGTGTGCTGCTTGAATCAGGTGCAGCCACGTTGAGGGTTGTTCACAGAGAGGCTGAAGAGATTCTGGAGACAGGAGTCTGTGATAGTGTGTGCTATTTTTGCAACTGAGACTTTGCTGAATTTATGGATCATCTTTAACTACGCTGCAGTTTTCTTGCGTTTTCAGTAGTTGGCTGGGCCGGCAGATTACTTCCAATACTACCTTTTGAAAGAAAGGGCAGGGGACATTTCTTTTCCTGTTATTTCCAAGGCACCTTTCCTTGTTGGTGGTTTATTTCCTTTACTTTGGTGCCCCGGGGCCTCAGCAAGTCCTTGAGTATGAACAATTAAATCTCACTGCTGCTGCCATAATCCACTCTGTGCTTGGTTCACCGTGGGCCCATTTGGGAGAACATCATTTCTCTGATTCTCTGATTCCACCCTTGTTCCTTATTAGAAGTCAAGTTATCGGAGGTTGAATACCTGGTGTTTGTTGACTAGCCTGGGAGGAAGTGATCTCTTTTGTTTGGATGCACTCCAGTGTCTACCTAGCGGGTCAGATTCCTACTGGACTCAAATAGGCAGGATGGGGTTGAAAAATACCAAATGAATGTTTTGTTTCAGTCCTGCTTCCTGTATGTGGTAGGAGAGGATCTTTCCTTCATTTCAAAAGACCGCTCACTCCAGCCTTTGCTCCCCCCACGCCCCTTTAGTGTTCTCTTCTGGAATAAATGAAGTCTGAGGACATTCTTGCTGCTCTTGCCCCCTCTTATTTTGTAGTTACTGGTCTTTGGAGGTGAAGGTCAATTAGTGAGTCTCCCAGCTTCCAGATGTGGTGCTTCTTGAAGGGTATAATTCAGGAGTAGGATTCCATGCACGTTATGTCCCTGGTTTTTTGTAGTTGTTTTCTGTAGAGGATATTATATTGCAAATAAGGTGGAAAGACAGGACATAACTCTAACTTTGTCTTAAGTTACATTGGTCATAGACTTGATCAGGACTGGGGAAAAAAGCACATGGTTACATCTATGCAATCAAAGTGTGTTACCCCTTTCAATCAAGGGTGATGAGACATACTAAAACCTTGATGGTAACAAGTGCTTGGTTAAAAGGTGTGCTAGTTCCAAGTTTTCCTTGTTTCTCACTTGAGGCATAGTTGACATAAAAGCCAGTTTTTATCTCAAATGAAATATCTCTACAGAATAGGACTCCTGTGTTAAATTCAGTGAATTTTCACACACCAGATACATCTCTATCAAGGAACAGAACATAGTTAATACACAGGAAACATATCTCATATTCCAGTACCGTGATTACCACCTCCTAAACTCCACTGCCTGCCTTCTAATGGATACATTCATTTTGCCTATTTTTAATACCCTATGTAAATGGAATGATTCAATATGTACTCTTAGGTCTGGCTTCTTTCCTTTGACAAACCACCTTTAAGGATAATGGGACACTTTGGCTTGGAGAAATTAGTTGGTCAGGCATTACTTAATATGATAGAATTAAGGAAAAACACTAAGGAAACAGATGCCATATTTACGCCGTGATGACTGTGTGGATAGGGACACTGAACAGGAATCAGTGAAATGTCTGGTGTGGCCCCAGTGTAGGTAAGTAGGGGCTGCTTCTTCCATGGCAACCCAGGATGCATTTGCAGGCCCACTGTGAGGGCCAACAGCACCCACAACAGACAAGGTGCCTGATCTCAGTACTGGACTGACTCTTCATGTGGCAGCATTATGCTAGGATTTTTTGTTGTTCACCTTTTTGCCAAGCAACGGCAAGAATAATGTGCTTGTCCAGAAGAGTGAAATAGAATTTCCTTGCTACTTTTTCTCGATAGAAAAAGTAGTAGCCAGTAGTAGACCAGGAGGAATAGACAAGGAACTAGGCTAACTTGGTTTCATAAGCTACAGAGCATGGGATCATGGGATTCAGGATTGTATGGTCACACTTCACTTATATTGTATTTGAGTAATAAGTCCTAAATGTGGGATATAACTGCATATTTTGCTGATACTGTATTTTCAGTATAAATGACCAAGAAAGTGTGAATAATATAAATATAAATATATGTGAATATACAAATGCAGTCTAAGAATAGGTTTGGTAAATGTAGTATGAAAAATGTAACATGTAGGTTTTATAGAAGACAGTCTTTGTACATATAAGTGCTGAAGAAAGTTCCAAGAAAAATCAGATGTCACTCCAAAAGCTAAATGAAATTAGAATGTAGATGTGGAGACAAGTACAGGCGTGTAACTATAATGCAATGGAGAAAGGAGTGTGAAAAGAGAGGTGTGGAAAGTAAAGTACTTTCACGTTTTTCAGGTCCTTTTATGTATTAAACACTGTGCTAAGCATGTGACATGCATTTTCTCAGTCTTCTGTAATGTTGTGAACTATAGACAATGCATAATTATCCCCATTTACAGATCTGAGCTGTGGAGACCAAGAACAGATCAGGGAGACATACGTGGATATTTGGGGTGGGCTAAGAGGGTTAGTAAGTTCTAGAAAGAAGACAGCAGAAGGGAATGGAAAAACCATGGAGGAAGTCTCTAAGGCAGTATGTAGGATGAATAGGAACAGGAGCCAGTCGTGTTCCACTATGAGAAAAACAATCAGGGGGTTTGTCTGTAAAACTGAAATCTTGAAGTCAATACACAGCTGAGGGCAAATAAACTGGAGACAGATTAAGCTGGTGGGGCCACTCCTGTCTGATGCGATCTCTTCTAGGCCAAGAACGTGAATGGCTACCTACTCCCTCAAGTGTAGCAAGCCTTGCTGAACTGCAGATGGGCTGATAGGCTCACAGTGCAAGATCAGAGCCAGTTGTAGGTGCCGTGATAAAGAGTTCAGACTTCCTGAACATCAGTTATTTCTGAAATTCTGAGTCAGGTCTCTGAAGTTTCATTTCTAGGCCTGTTGAATACTGTACACAGAAAACTAACCAGATGTCAGGACTGTGTATGAAATTTTGTTATTCTTGTGTGTGAAGAAATGGATTAATGTTTTCCCAACCTTTTCAGCATGACCAATAGATTCCATTTCTGTCTGTAACTTGGCTGAGTCACTCATGGATGTTTAAAAAAATTTTTTTTAATAAATATGTTGTCATGTTGGTTAAGGGCCTAGTCATTGTTGTGGACATTCATACTTCTATCATGATGTCATTGAAACATAATTTAAGTTGTGTAAAACTTCTGTCTAACAACGGCTAAAAATAGCTATATTGGTCACTTTGAAGGCTATAACCACACTAAAGGAAAGAAATCACTCAGATTCATGTGTGATAGAGGCACTTTAATATGTTTAAATATCTGGTTTAGGGAGTGAGACATTTTATGTCTAGAATCTTCCATAGGTAGATATTTATTACCCCTTTGAAAGGATTGTGACTTTTAGCCTTGAAAATAGTTATTCACGTGAACTGAGTGGTTAGTTGTACAGACTAAATAATGCTCTTTTTCTTTTGCCTTATTTTACTACCTATGTACTTCCTTGAGTGAGGATGATTTTTTTTAAAGAAAAATCTTCAACCAGTTGCTTCGCTTTTATGTTTATGAAGAAGAAGTCTTTGTGTCTCAAACCATGGCCATGTGGTGCTCACTCTGCAATTCAGGTAATTAATTCAGCAGTGACATCATAGGGAATGTGTTCATTTTTCCATTCCAATTCCTCTTCTTGGAGTCTGATGGTTAACTCATATTAAGAACACATTTTGAAAAACTCAATTCTCAAAGACAGTTATGAGTTAATTTAAACATTCCCCCTTTTGTGTTATAAATGCACTGTTTCATTCCAGAGAAGGTCTACCCTCTGTAATGAAGGTGATATAAAATTGTCCATCATGTTGATCCTGATTGTTAGTTGTTTGATCAGTTATTACTGAGCACAGTTGATCAACTGATATTTACTAAGTAGAAGCCATAGGGAAAAACAGCAGTGGTGGAAATATGGTTTCATATTATTTAATCCTCATTTTTTTATAAAGCTAAAAATGTTGAACTATGAAATCTTTTTAAAAGATCTATTTTTTGGGATTTATTTTACTTTGTTCAACTCTATGTATACCTGCAGCTGTTCTTTGTAGATACTTGGATAGGCAAATAGACCGGATGTTTTTATAATGTAGCTTTTATGCTGTTTTGACTGTGACCTACCATAAAATAGAGAGACATCAAAATGTTCATGGAAACAGTGAATTAAAAAGACAAGCTTATTTTGGTGTAAAAACTTTTGAAATCCATAATATACATTTTCCATGAACTTTAAGAGAAGATATTTATTTATTTGAAAGAGTTACAGAGTGAGAGAGACAGAGAAAGAGAGAGACAGAGAGAGAGACATCTTCGTCTAGAGAGAGACATCTTCCATCTGCTGATTCACTCCCCAAATGGCTGCTGGAGCTGGGATTGCGCCAGGCTGAAGCCAGAGTCTGGAACTCCATTTGTGTCTCCCATGTGAGTACAGGGGCCCAAGGACTTGGGCCATCTTCCACTGTTTTCCCAGGTGTATGAGCAGGGAGCTGGACTGGAAGTGGAGTAGCATGGACTTGAACTGGCACCCAACGGGGGAT